TTACATTTTTGAATTTTATTCATTTAATTACATTTTTTTTTTTTAAATATATATGTAGTTACACATATCATATTAATATATTTTTGTGTAATGTTTCAATTGTGTAATGTTTAGTATATTTTTTGTAATGTTTCAATTGTTTAAATTAAGTTTAAAAAGTAATAAATATCATTTTAGTTTTAGTTTTTAGTAGCATTACTTTTAGTTTTTAGTAGTAGTAGCATTCATTTTAGTTTTTAGTAGCATTACTTTTAAATATTAGGCAATATTTAAAGAACTTAACTTTCATTACATTTTTTTTCAGCTTGATATATATTAGAAGTAGAAATACAAAACTATCAATGATGGGTTTCGTTTTTTGTATTACTATGTATTTAAACAATATATTTGCTAACTAATTGATACGTTATCAAGATGTGGGAGAGATTTGGTATAATCCCTTGGTATAAAGCAGGGATATAAGCAAAATATATCTTTTAGAATGTTTTCTATTCTAGTAGAAAATATATTAAAATAATGAAAATTATGCAAATGTATATATAAGAGGAAGATGATTTTGTGCACCTTATAATAATTTCATATAACAATGAATTATTTAAGTGCTATATAAGATTTATATTTAACTTCCACATAAGGTATATATTTGTTGTTAATGATAAATATTATTGAGTTTTATGACATAATGTAATAGAAGTATAACTTTTATACATGCAAACATATTAAATAAGAATTGCAAAAATGTCATTCTTATCAAATTTAAAAAAAGCATTCCACTTTGGTGGAAATGATGCGAAGAAAAAGAAATTGTACAATAATATTAAAATGGATTGCAATCCAGAAGAATTCTGGGAAATGATAGGTGAACTAGGCGACGGGGCATTTGGAAAAGTTTATAAGGTAACAGGTCTTTTGTATTTGCATAATTTAATAATAAAATTTTTTTAATTATAGCTGTTTAGTTTAAACGTGTATTAAATATTTCAGGCACAACATAGGCAAACTCATCAACTTGCTGCTGCAAAAATGTGTGCATTGGAAGGAGAAGATGATCTTAGTGATTTTATGATCGAAATAGATATTTTATCAGAGTGTAAACATCCAAATGTTGTTGAATTACATGAAGCATATTTTATTGAGAGCAAACTATGGGTATGTTTTATAGTTCAGTTTAAATTTATATTTTACAACATTGCTATTAATATTTGTATATTTTCATTCATAAATTTATAGATGTTAATAGAATATTGTGATGGTGGTGCTGTTGATTCTATAATGGTTGAATTGGCAAAAGCTTTAACAGAACCACAAATAGCTTATATATGTCAACATATGACGAAAGGTCTTGCATTTTTACACAAATCTAAAGTTATTCATAGGGACTTGAAGGCAGGAAATGTTTTATTAACAATGGCAGGAGGAGTAAAGTTAGGTAATTCTCATACTTAAATTCTCAAATTGATAACTATTTTATATGTTGTATATAAAAATTAATAAATTTCTTATTCATAGCTGACTTTGGAGTATCTGCAAAAAATAAGCATACTTTACAAAAACATGACACATTTATTGGAACACCATATTGGATGGCTCCAGAAGTGGTATTATGTGAGACATTTAGAGATAATCCTTATGATTTTAAAGTAGGTAACTCATTTTTAAATTATAAGTTCTTTTGTATTTGAGTACTTATATTATGTTTACATTTCATAATTAATACTTTTCATGTCAATATACACGTATATATTTTATATACAGGTAGACATTTGGTCGCTTGGTATTACCTTGATAGAATTTGCGCAAATGGAACCACCAAACCATGAAATGTCTCCAATGCGCGTTCTTCTTAAAATACAGAAAAGCGATCCACCAAAACTTGATCAACCTGGAAAATGGAGCAAAGATTTTAATGATTTTATTGCAAAAGCTCTTATAAAAGATCCAACATCGCGACCTACAGCTGATGAATTGTTGAAACATTCGTTCATAAATCGTAATTTGGATTCAAAACCAATTAGAGATCTGTTATTGGAATATAAAGCTGATGTTGTTGAGGAGGAATTGGTCGATGAAGAAACAGAGGTAGTTTTTTATCTTTTGGTATTAATTAAAGTGAAATTTTTCTATTTAAATAACTTTCTTCGTGTGAAAATAACTTGAAACGCTTTAAAACTTTCTTAATGGTTTCTTAAATTGTAACAATGTATAAAGCTTTATAAACAGCATTAACATGTATACACGTTGTTACATGCTTTCATTTTGAAATAGAAGGCCAAAAAGGCGAAAAAACATAGAGAACAATATCAACGGATTGGTAAGCTGCTTTTGAACAAACTGCATAGATTAAATTATATAAATCTAGTTTATAAATGAAAAAATGAACAATATCTGTATTCCGAAAGTTTATTATATTTGTAATGAAATATTTTTGTATTCGGTTATGTAAATTTTTAATAAATTTCATTTCATTTTCATAATATACATAATTCTTCTTTGTTACATTTATGCATGATGAACATGCATAAAATCTTAGGAAGATTCATGCATGTAATATGCGTTGTAAAAATATACTTTTTTCTTAATTTGCGAAATCAATACGATAATTTTATTTTTATTAAGAATTTATAAATATTTAAATTATTATTATATTTATTATTTGTTGTGTACTAATGTAAGTATTCAAGATTATAATTTCAAAAATCTTGAGCTTTTCATTTTTTTTTTTTTTAACATTTAATCTAATAATATGCTAATAAATATGGTATTGTAATTTGGATAATTTGGCTGTGCATGCGGCTCTCCTGGGCCTCGCCAGCCCCATCATCCCTGCGTTTGTCAGGTCAGTAGCTTATGCAATAAGTGTTGTCTAATTTGATTTCAATATATTTTCTGTATATTGTAGTTGTTTGCTATTTTCTTTCTTTTTAACAATTGCAATGCATAAGCTATTTTTATATTAAAGTTATTCATATTAGTTATAAGGTAACAGTTTTAATAAAAATATTTTAGTTATTCATTTTTATTTCACTATTCTCTTTCCATATTTACATCAAATAATAGTTTTTGTTACTCTAGTTTTTTCATTTTGCAAAATTATTCAATTTGCATATTTTATAGATTTAGAAGTTACATCTTGTATCCGTCTGATATATTTTTTGAATGGTGTTGTATATTACATGATTATATAATTTTATATATATAAGTAAGACAGAAATATACAACTTTCAGGAGCAGCGCACATCTCAGCTTCCTCTGGAACTGGATCAACTCGGAGATGACTCTGCGTCTATGCGCAGTGACGCTGATGTTCAGAGTAAGTATGATTCATACTACATATATCTATAATACTGCGTTAGATACTAATGAGAATTGTTATAAAATAATTTTATATTTTTATTACTATTATTTTTCTTTTTTTTTCCAGTTTCTGAAAAAGAAAATCTTATTGCATCACCTGTGTCAGCGAAAAAGGAAGAAAGCCATAAACGAGAGATTAATAGAGACGGTGAAAAGGAGGATAGAAACAAGAAATTACGTAAAGCAGAATCAAAAGACAATATACTTGTTTCTGCTGAGAAAAAACAAGTATGTTCTTTTCCTTTTAATCAATTGTTGATATATTCTTATATAAATAATAATTATAATTTGATTTTTAGGCACCTAAACCTCCTAGTACAAACGAAACGAATGAACGTAGAGTATCTCGAGAAAAAGGACCTGCGCCTCCTCCACCACTTATGCGTCAAAATAGTAAGATTGAAGATAAAGAAAATAATTTAAAAATTACGGATAAACAAAGTGACGTAGAAGTATTAAACGAATGCAAGATCACTGATAAACAACAAAGAGAGAAAAACGAATCGTCTCAATTAGGTCAAGAAGTGGTAGGCAATGAGCAAACAAACGTAGACACATTTCCCGAAAAAACAAATGTACTAGCTAGCCTAGAAAAGATTGTATCAGAGAATAACGAAAGGGAAAAGAATAAAATAGATGATGTGAACAAAAGTGATATCAGGCAAAGATCTGTAAATGATAAGACAAAATCATCGAGAACACAATTGTCGTTAGAAGAGAAACGGAAATCGGCACCAGTTAAATTAGAGTTGGTTGAAGACTGGACGAAACCAGTATTTAACAAACAATCGTCTTTAGAAGAAAAGAACAGGTATTTATTTTTATTTATATTAACTTTTCGTCTAAATATTCACACATATTTCTTTGAATTTATATTTAATTTAATACTGCTTATATAAAGGACATTCAATTTTAGAATTGAAAAGAAAACACCAATTGATATACAAGTTAAAAGACAATCTTCGGGAGAAGAAAATTACAAGAGCTTACAAGAAAAACGGAAATCTGTAGAGCAAAAATTAAATGCAGTTCTAGAGAAACGATTTTCGATGGATACTGAAATGCATATGAGCGTTTCTTCTATGGAGACATTGTCTCAACGAGAAGCTTTAACTACAAGCGCCGAAAAGAACATTATTAAAGCTTGTTCCACTGAAGATGTTAAAACCGATTATGGAATGTCTAAATCAGAATCTGTTGTTAAAAGTCATAGCGAAGGATCTTCCAGACATGTTTCTTTGGAAAACTTTTCCGATGAATTTGACGGAAAACGGGATAACAAATGGCGAAGTAAAGGACATAATTACGAAAATACAATAAGTAACAGCGATAGCGTAAACTCTGAGGAAAAAGGTTCTTCCGTAAATGTATCAGTAATCACATCAACTCCCATTAAATATGCTTTGAGAAGAGACAGTGCTGACAATGTAGTCGTCATTACTGGTAATGTTAAAGATTATGTTATTATTTTGCATTATATCTAACAATCGTAAATATTGAATTCTTGTTAGAAAAGATTAAAACCGAATTGTTGATACTTATAGGAATAAAGAAACACGTATTGATCTTTTTAGGTAAATCCGACCAAGAAATACGTCCGAACACATCAACCGTCCGAATCACAGCAGATAGTCCAGATTTATCGAATAGTCTAGCGAGCAACGTTAGTCAAGTAACTGTTGTAACGACCCATCCTCCGGTTCTTGTCGATGCTGTATCACTGGCAGCGAATTCTTCTTGTCGTCAACCTCCGACATCGGAAGTTGTTATTGTTGCGAATGAATTAAATAAAACACAAGTGAATGAAAGCTCGACCGATGACGATGGATTCACTAGTTTAGATAGTTTAGAGTACATGCCCCAGGAGCAACCGATAATTCTCACAGACGTCTCTAAAAGAGTTGGCAAGAAGCTAGACGAATCCGAAGTCCTTATTGTAAGTCCGATCGTAGACGAATTACAGGATACTAGTCATGTTTCTGTTGTTACTGTCGGTGACGACAAGGAACAGGTGAAAGATTCCTCAATAATTAATAAACAAGAAGCCGTACGAACTTCATCTCACAGTGACGCAAGTTTAATTGAAATGTCGAGTACAAAAAGCGATAGCGGGGATGAAATTAACAAAATGATAGTCGCCGGGACGACCATAGAATCTATAGATATTGATGATGTGGAGAGAAATTCGAAAAAAATGAATGGTTTATTAAAGAACGACAAGTCTGCGATTGTCGGTCGTATCGATGAGAAAATGTTACAAACGCTCAAACAGAAAGAGGTAAATAAAGGATACAAAGAAAAAAGGGTATCTCCGGACAGCTTCGAAGGATCTAGATCGCAGAGTGAGTCTGGATCGACAAGATCGCACACGCCTAGTAAAAGCATAGATCGTTCCGATGCTGAATCCATTTCTACCACGATAAGTCAGGACAGCAGGGAGTCGAGCAAGGAAAATCATTTAAGTCAGGGGCAATCGACGGAGGTGGACGAGGAAGTAGTATTGCGACGGAAGCCTGATTACAATCGTGACATACCACGACCAGCAAGAACGAAAGAGGACATTCAAATGATGAATTTGAAGAAAAAGACAAGGAAGCGAACTAGGAAATTTGAGATCGATGGTGTCGTAGTTACCACGACAACGTCGAAGGTAATTTATGGCGACGACGAGAATGGTAAAGTTTACGACGACCAAATCTTCAGGAAGCAAGAGTTAAGGGAATTGAAGATGCTACAGAAAATGGAGCAGAAACAGTTTCAGGATTTGTCGCAGAAGGCACAGTTTAATAAAGACCAGCAAGAGAAGCGTTTTGAGCAAGAGAGGCAGCTTCTGGAAAGAAGTGCTGAAACTGACCTCGAGACACTTGCTCGACAACAGAGGCAACAGATCGAACGAGCGGAAGCGCAACAGGAGGCCGATCTTAGGCTTGCTTCGAAAAAGATTCGCAGCGAGCAAGAAAGAGAATTGAAACAGTTCCGTGAGGGATTGAAGCAGGAGCTAAAATTACTTAAACAGGAGGTAGATCTAATGCCGAAAGATAAGAGGAAGAGCGCGTTCAAGATACGGAAAGAGAAATTGGAGGCTGAACACGAAGAAAGAGAGAAACACTTTTTAGATAAGCTCAATGAAAGTCATGAACTATTGTTGAGAAGATTGTCCGATAGTCATCGTGAAAAAATTGCGTTAATGGAGAGACAATTTTTGCAGCAGAAGCAACAATTGATGAGAGCTCGAGAAGCAGCCATTTGGGAGCAAGAAGAACGGCACATTCATGAGAAGCAGCAATTGTTGAAGAAACAGTTGAAGGATATTTTCTTTTTGCAAAGACATCAAATGCTGATACGTCATGAAAAGGAATTGGAGCAAATGAAGAGAATGAACCAACGAAAGGAGGAGGAGCTGATTAAACGACAAACGGTGGAACGTAGAAACTTGCCGAAAAGAATTCGCAACGAGATGAAGGCGCGCGAAATGATGTTCAGAGAGTCTATGAGGATCTCCATGTCGTCGGTCATCGCGCCAGATCCTGATGCTGAAAGGGAGAAATTAAAGAAGTTTCAAGAGAACGAGAAGAAACGATATAGAGCCGAACAGCAAAGATTTGAACTGAAGCATTCGCGTCAACTGGAAGAGGTGAGAGCGCAAAGCGACGCCACAATCAAAGAATTGGAACAATTGCAGAACGAAAAGCGGAAAATGTTGATGGAACACGAAACATTGAAACTGAAAGAATTAGAAGAGGCATACAGTAAAGAGCTTCGTGAATGGAAAGCGCAACTCAAGCCACGAAAGCAGGTAAATCAATATTTTCTTCACTTTCTCTTGTAATTTTGCCTTTCGTATTTTGCAAAGCTTTTCTTTCTTCCCCTTCTTCTCTCGCTCTCTTTCTTTTTCTACTTGTCTATTCTTTCATTTTTTTTTTTTTTTTTTTTTTTTTTTTTTTGAATGTATACAATTGTACACACAGCAAGCAAAGCCATAGGATTCCTTGTCTTGTGGTTTCTTTGATCGATTGATCGATGACCAGCGCGAGAAGAGATAGAAATCAATCGCGACTTTTAACTCAAACCCAAAAGAAATAGGCATAGTTTTACTGAAATAAGCTTAATGTACTTGTTATAGAAGTTAGAGGCTGAGCTGACGGCTGAAATGGAAGTATTGGAAGCTCATTACCGAGACTATTTGCCCTCGAGTCGTAGTGGTTTCTCTTCACCCTCTTTATTCGTAGATTATTCTCTCTTTAATTTTGAAAGTTGGAAGAAATCTCCGCGTCTGCCTCGCTCAACTCCAACGTCTCCCTCCCCATTTACCATTCCACGGGTGTCTCTAAGAATTGGTGGTTCGGACACCGGTTCCATTAATGGCATGCTACCACGAAGTCAATCCAAACCAGACCTGACACCATCTCCATCTCGTAGATAGTACTCCTAGAATATTCTGTTGCGTCTCCTTCCAAATGTTCTCGTTGTTCGTTGAGAGAGAAGCTTCGAAATAAATTAGATATAAACTCACCTTTTTCAATTTAACATTTTTATTTCAGACAAACAAATTTCTTTCGTTTTATAATATTTCCCCAGCTACTTTCTCACCGTTTGTTTCTCTTATTTCGAAGTCTCTCTTACTGAATTATGCTTTGTGCATTTAACATGCCCCGCTTTACTCACCATTATTTCGCAATATTTATCGTTTGTTCATATTTATTACTGTATATGTGCATACGTACACGTATGAATTTGTCTCTCCCCCCCTCCCTACATATATACATACGTACATTTAATATATTTTCGTGTAACCAATTTTAAGAAAAAAAAAATATATATATATATATATATATTATTTGAGCTTATACTTAACAACATTTGAATGATAAAGTAATCAAAGTATAATTAATTTATAGCATGAGTTTTGCTCGCGATTCTTGAAGAAGGATCAACAAACACGTTTTTGCCAATTGATAAGAGCTTGTTATTATTAGCTGTTAGATAAAATGTATGATTTTCTAAGCATTGGAATAAAAATTAAAAAAATAAGTTACCGGCATTGATTAATTTATTCTTAAATTTGTTGTCTCCATGTGGAAGGTATTTGTGAAATTTTCATCATAGATAAAGGGGTAAAGATTGACGATCATTAATATTGACAGAATATTAACAATGCCAATTATTAGTATATATTTCTAGGGAAATAGATTGGTACATACTTTATACAGATTCTATGTTTAATTATAGACATTTGTCGTATGTTGTATTATCGATAATACATGTAAGTGCCGTGTTTCGATAGCAGCTTCTCTATGGTTATTAAATATAAATCATAACAGGGTGAATCGGTGATAATTATGGGCTATGTGTTGTTGTATACTTACCGGACGTAGTAAAATGTGCGGTAAATGCTTATACACATCAAGGGTATTCATATATAAGTGTTTCCAAATGTACATGTTAGATTATGTTCGTCCCCACTTTTTATTACGTACCTCTTTCATTAAGAATCCAACATACAACATGTCGGGGAAAGAGATTCCACGACTGGATATCAGAACTCGATCTACTAGGTAATAAACAAGGTCAGTCCAAAAAAAAAGTTGATGCGAATATAAAGTAAAATAAGGCATAAATATAGTAATAAACGATTAAGTGCAATTAAACGTTTAACACCAACAGACTAACTCCATGCGTTTTCTCTTTGATTTCTTAGTTTATTTAAAGTTTACCTATAGGGAATATCCATCGTTATTTAACACTCGATGTATTGTTATCCGCTTGTTTCATTAGCTGAAATGTTCCTTTACAGAAACTGGAAGAGCAGTTTGCGTTACAATTGGAGGAGCAAGAGGCGATCTACGGACCAAGCGGCATACCATTGTGCTTACCAGCAGATCTTACCGATTTAACACATCATACTGTTGGCTCGACACGTAGTTCACTTTCTTCGGTGAGCGAGGGTTAATGTCTAAGTTAATCTCTATCATCGAATTCTGATTCTTTCCCTGTAAGAATGGCAGACGAATCAAGATAATGGAACTGCGAACGTCGAGATACGCCAACCCTTTGCACGTCTATTCGATTTGAAACGATCATCGACCAGCAATTCGTTTTGGTTACGAATAAAATCTATATAACACGATGCAAGGCGCACAAAGTGTGTCGATCCTTTAATTTGATAACGATGTAAAACAATTAAAGTATCATCACAGTATCACTGTGATTTTGCAGCGTCACTTTGCAACGATATACATACACATGATCGAACTGTGAAACAACAAACTTTTAACATTTTTTAAGAGAGAGAGAGAGAGAGAGAGAGAGAGAAGAAAAAATTAGAAAATCGGTTTTCTTAAGATATATTTTATATATCAAATACGAATTTTTTACATATAAACGAGATGAATTTCTTACAGCAATCTTCTCGAAAAATATACTGCTGGGTATATACAGCTCATACAATCCGCCCGATGATTTCTCTTGAGAACTTGCAGGAACAAACGAGTTCTCGTGATCTATCGTGTACGTGATCTTACAATAAATAAATAAATTTTTTCTACATCTTATATACGCATGTACATTGAACTAGCATTCGAGGACAATTTTACCATCCTGTTAAAAATACACGTAACCGTAGCAAGTGTGTTCATAGAGTACTTGACGATTTTATGCGTACGTAATGCACACGTGGAAAAAGTATATTTTCGATTGTCGAGTGTGTATACATGTACATGTACATTATCGAGTGTGTCACGGCACATGCATTTGCGAGGACTTCGTTGGTGTTGAAGCAACTGCAAATGTAGGTCGTAATTGCGCTCGTGTTTAAACGGATGCGCGTATCGTTCAGATACCACTTACGAAGATATCGAAGCGTTGTTGTATCTGAACCAACTTGTAATAGTCGTGTCTTCATTATTAGATTGTTCAACGAGTTGTATCGTTTGTAAAAAAGAAAAAAAAAAAAAATGGCTAAATCTCCATTGATGGATTGTTTTTTTTTTTTTTTTTTTTTTATATCAAGGTACGAATATATTTTTAGTAAATAAACGTTCAACATTACGAATCAAAGGTTCACGCCAAATATGTACAATGTATGATTGCTTACTGCGCGTCTATATAGTCTGAGGACATTGTAGGGAATCACTTTGATGCGTACTCAAAATGAACATGTGTGGCTAACACTCGTTCTAGATGTAAAGAAACATATTTGTATAAAATATTTCCTCCTCATATCTCTTTCGTTTCCTTTAATTGTACAGTACATTAATTTTTATATTTTTGCCTGTTTACGTTAATCTATCTGATAACGATTATTATTTAAGGAACTTTGTACATAGGAAACCGAAATGAATTCATATATTTTGAACATTCTATTAATCATATTGGGAGAATAATATTTACCACTTTGAGAGCAATTCATATACCCAGTTTCTTGCAAGAAGCATGAGAATGCTGGATCTTTTTTGTTGGGTGATTCTCCTCAAGTGCATATATGCCACATATGGGTAAAATGATTTTGCGACATTCGTTTAAGTTCTTTCTTGGTCGGAGACAATGACAAACACATGTACTAATGACATAAACATAAAGTGAAATACGAGAAGCGCAGTAGTTGGTTTAATAAAACAGAAAGGAAAAGAAAAGAGGACGTTTGCCAAAGCATATGTACATACATGTATTCTTGAAGCGTTAAGATTTTGGTAATATAAAGGAAACTTACTTAGGCATGGTGTGATGAAAAACATCTTGATACTGCCCTTTATTGAATTCATGTCCAGCGCTGCAATTGTTAGAAAGTACTCGTTAATCGTGCCTGTTGGATCCTACATAATTCATGATCTTTTAATTCATCGAAAGAACGATGCATCTGGTTCTTCTTAAAAGGGATCAATTGCAAAAAAAAAAAAAGAATATGAAAAGGAAAGTCGATTAAAGTTTCGTTTGACTTATAAATGAACAGAGATCGATAGATAGTGCGGGTCCCGGCAATGACTATGGGAATTTTATGTAATTAATACATTCAGTAATTTTTTTAATTATCGAGCACGTGTGCATCGTACGTTGGGAATTATTGCAAAGAGTATAACAAACGGACAGAAAAAAAAGAGAACGAAGACATTGTCGTGTGCGTTGTATATTTGAGTGAAAATATTTATATTACGACGAATTAAAGCATGATGTAATGTAAAGAGGAAATTTGTTAGCGAATCGAATTGAATCGAAAAGTCATCTCGTTAACAGTGTCATTTTCTCCTTATCTCTTGGTTTTTGCTGAATGCTTTTTCAGTCATTGTTAATCATTGTATGTCCATTGTTTGTTTAAGCATACGAAACTGTTTGTTATAGTTTTTTTTTTCAATTTGTACCCAGTACAAAAATTTCATTGGATCACAACCTACAACATACAGGCGCATACTTTTATATACATATAAGAAATCAATAGACTGAGAATAAGTAAAAGAGACGAAAATCAGGAAATGAGATTATTCTGTATTAAGGAACGAAGTTTGGTAAAAAAAAAAAAAAACACCTTTTATTTTTTGATCTAAATGAAATATTAATTGATAATTCTACAAATATTTATAACTTTAAAAATTTTTACTCCGAACAGATCAGAGATCATTCGGAGACATCTCAAATATTTACTGTGTAACATAGAGCTTTTTATGTAAGCGGTATACAAAGAAATTCTCGTTTATGGTTTCATAACAGAGTATTTTTTACTTCTAAACCTTATTGTATGTGTTGAGCGATTTTATGCTTTTTTGTCTGTGTGTGTGTGTGTGTGTGTATGTGTGCGCGCGCGTGTGTTTTCTTAATTTAAGATTTATTCATTTTAGATTGACTTTATTTTACACATATACAACGTACTTCGTCAGCAATTTTGATCTTTAAGAAATACAAGACGATCGTTCTTGCGACTAAAAGATAGTGAATTCATATTTTACTAAAAAGTATACAAACTCGGATGATTTATGTAGAGAAGAAGTCATAAATGAATTTATTTGTAGTTAAGTTTAAGAAGTTGAGTTCGAAATGATACGATGTTCATAGTGATATCAATCATGACCGAAGATGTCATAAATATGATTCACAATTGAGCAAGTGTGTTTGTGCAATAAAAATTGTTACGAATTTCGTATACTGATCACAAGTCGTACGATGCTTATTACGATTGAATGGAAAATCGAACGTATTGAAGTTTCGAAGAATATTAAATTAGATGGCAAAAAAAAAGACAATA